TAGACATCACACTACTGCTGACTTTTTCAAGAACATTTGTATCTGACCTGGGTGAAAAATGTGGAATTTCAACTTCTGATCTTTTGGTCGTTTTTTTTTTAAAGTGGAGACGTCAGGGATTGAACCCGGGACCTGGGGCATGTTAAGCATGTATTCCACCACTGAGCTATACCCTCCCCCCACTTCTGATCTTTTGATCAGACCTGACCACTTGATGTCATGTTAGCTCCAAAAACAAGTGTTCTGAGACAATATGCCTACAGAAAATACCACACACTAGAGACATACCCACGACTATTTATTGATATTAGTTGTAAGTGACTACACCATTAACTAAAGAAACTAAGCAATAAATCTTTGTTTTTAAATTCTGTTGTGTAGAGTAACTTTCAGAAGTCTGATTTAGGAACACAGAAGGGACAGTATCAAGAAACTCACTGAGGATGCATTACACCTTTGGAAACAGCCACCATGCATTCTGTAGAACACAGAATTAAAATAACAGCTAAACTATCCATCGCCTTAGGCCTTTTAATAAAATCACTAAACTCTGTCCAGATCTAAAGAAGCTATCCTACAAGTACGCAAAAGGAAATAAACTGGTCTCAGAAAGAGCTGAGATAAGATTGTATAATGGCGTAATCGCAATGGAAAACAGTATGGAGTTTCCTTAAAAACTTAAAAATAGAACTACCTTACAATCCAGCAATCTGACTTCTGGGTATATATTCAAAAGAACTGGGGGAGGGGAGGGTATAGCTCAGTGGTAGAGGGCATGCTTAGCATGCACAGGGTCCTGGGTTTAATCCCTAGTACCTTCATTAAATGATAAAACAAATAAACTAAATTACCTCTCCCGCCAAGAAAAAAATTTTTAAAAAGAAAAAAAACCTGAAAGGGTCTCAAAGAGGTGTTTGCACATCCATGTTCACAGCCTCACTACTCACAAGAGCCAAAAGGTAGAGGCAACCCAAATGTCCACTCACGGATGTATGGATAAACAAAATGTGGTATATACATATGATTGAATATTATTCAGCCTTAAAAAGGAAGGAAATTCTGACACATGCTACAACGTGGATAAATCTTGAGGATACTGTGCTAAGTGAAATAAACAAGTCACAAAAAGACAAATACTGTATGATTCCACTTGTAGGAGGTTATCTAAAGCAGTCAAATTCACAAAAACAGAAAGTAGCACGGCATTTACCAGGGGCTGAGGGGAGGGAGAGAACGGGAGGTATTACTGGGTTTAGAATTTCAGAACTGCAGGAAATCTGTTTCACACAAATGTGGGTATATTTAACACTAGTGAACTGTACAATCTAAAATGGTTACAATGGTAAATTTTGTTGTGTGTTTTATACCACAATAAAAAAGAAAAGCTGATTTGTTTCTCCCTCAGGATACATGTTATACTGATTACAGATATAGGACTGGATTCTAAAAATACCATGTGCTTTTATGTCTAAATGTTAACATATCACTTACCCTTATATAATTCTCTGTAGTCCATAAAATGCTGTCAATCAGAAGCCAATTGCTATTCTTGACTTTTGACTACCAATAAAGGCAAGTTATATTGTTCTTTAGCCCCAAACACCAGTGGGAATATGTAAATAAGTCTTGATGAGCCAAAGACAATTTTTTCAATATATGACTTTTCAAGTCTTTGCTATTCCATCTTTATCCCATTTCTTTTTTCTGGCCATTTCTCTACTTATGAGGGTTTCAATTCAAGAACAAGAGCAGTGAAGGAAAAAAAAAATCTAATTGGTGTAACATGTCATCAAAAGAAGTTACCAGATTTGGCCAAAATCTGAACTGAGGATATCATGTACCTATGTTTTCCTCCTTCTTCTCAGTATGAGAACAGCCACCACAGTTCTCTTTTATCCAGAGGACAAATCTAATGGTGGTCCTGTCATACTGCTAAAAAGAGATGGGCATATAAAAACTTCTGGGAAGGCATATAAAGAACTTGCTTCAATTCTGTCATTCAGGTTTAGACATATGCAAATAAGACCAGTGAAATCAAACGAGATATAAAAATTTGTATGCTATTTAGTCTTTTTAACATAACCCTTTCAAGAATTAGGGAGAACCAAAAGAATGGCTCCAATTTAGTCTCTCCTATTGAGGGCAAAATTAATCTTATTCTAGAATTAAGTAAATTTTAACTAAAAAGATATATATCAGGATTTATATCCAATCAAAGATTCAGATAATATATTTAGAATTTTAGACCTTTTTATTCATAGTCCTCAAAATAAGAGGCAGAAAGAAGATAAGGTCTTAAGTATTCTTAAGAATCAGAACTTCCACAAGCTGGTTTTCAGTTTTAAGGCAATGATTTCAGACTTGTTATAATAATTCTTTTAACTCCAGTCTATCCCATTCAAATAACTGGCTTGTAGATTTTAAGATGCATATTATGGGCTGCTCTTTCAACTATAAATCAAGTCACATTTTTATTACTGTATTAAGAAAGCCTCTTGGGCTCTAAAAGAGAGCAGATGGGATGATTTAACAGCAGCAGCTGTTACATCAATGTCCAGGAAATTACTTGCATACCATAAATGAGTTTTAAATTTTACATGCCTCAGCTTCTCAATTCTTGAATACCCCTCTCCTTGCCTCCAATACGCAACAAAACACAGTATAAAGATAAACTTAAATTAGTAAGATGCCATTGAAATCATTAAGTGCCTACTTTGATGGCTTTTATCTAATGAAATTAATCTTACTACCAGTTTGATTTTGATAAACCGTATTAACCATTTTTAGGGTTAATTAACTTTCCTAACCTATTATTCGATTTGTGGGTTTTTTGATTCTTAGAGTTTTGGGGGGGAGGTAATTAGATTTGTTTTTTAATTTATTTTTTTAATGGAGGCACTGGGAATTGAACCCAGGACCTACTGCATGCTAAGCACTTGCTCTACCCCTGAGCTATACCCTCCCACATCCCTTGATTCTTACAGTAATTCTAGTTTACAAAAGTTCTAAGTGTTTTACAGGTATTCTAATTTAATTCTCAGAATAATGGTGGAGGTAAATACCATTATTATCCACATTTTACAGGTGAGGAAATTGTACAGAGTAATTAAGTACATTGCCCAAGGTTAAGCCAGCACCTAACAGAGTGCCTTCAAAATCCACTTTCTTAGTTACTTTATATTTCAATCTTGTTCCTTAAGCTACTGAAGCACTGCAATCCCTTATCTTACACAGGCTTACAACTAAAGCATTTATTGGAATATCATTTGTATTAATGCGTATTTAACAAGAAATTCACAGCCTGATTAGCAAGGAATCTTAAGATCTTGGCTTCCTGAAGATTAACATCAGGACAGGTTGCCAAAAAAAGTGGTTTACAGGTGATATTTTAGTTCTCTCACCAACTCAATTTTCCTGGATCAAAATCTGAATAAAAATAATTTGGCTTTCTGGGGTAGAACAAGTTTATTGTGACCCCTTCTTCCTCCCTTTAGCTGAAATTGGGCAAAGTATTTTCACTGTCTTGTAAGAGAGAGAGAGAAGTATTGAGGCCTCTGGGAAGTAATCTGGTGATGTCAATCAAATCACAATCTCTTGAACTTATTTAGAGAACTCTAGAAAATAACTCCTTAACCTTCCAGAGTCCTTTTTGGAAAATAAATCAACATTTGCCTATGTGATCAATCACTTTCAGAGCGAAAGTCTCTATTTTCAGATGCTGAGTCTGAATATCTACCTTCCCAGCAGTTATCAACAATAGCTGTTCTCCAAGGCTTATGAGAAAGTTACTAAAGTAATAGACTAAAGATTTGTTTTAACCGGGATACAGAAAGACTAAATTAGCAGTAAGAGTTATTTCTCAAAATTATAGACTTCATCGGACAGTTTGAGCTGTTATATTAGCATCAGCAAGTACTTTCTGAGCTGGGATTCATGGACTTAACTCCTACATACAGTACAGGGAAAATTCTAATCGATGTCACAGAAGCTACTGCCGAGAAACTTAACCTTTTTCTAACATAAACAGACAAGCCTCAAAATTCTTCAGACACATGCTTGCATAAAGAATGTTAAAGCTGTTTTATTTAGTCATTCATATACTGAGTAGCTACTATGAAGAAAAACACACCCAAGACAGAATGATACATAAATTCGGACCTAGCACTGCAGAAATTTTCAGCCTGAACTAACTACCAAGTGGTATGAGGCAGTATACTTACAAAACAGCCCAAAACACCTCCACTGGTTCCAGAACTGATAAGACTTCCACATATCACTCATAAAAATTGGTTTTCCCCAACACCTAACTCTTATTAAAAACCTGGATATTACTATGGGAAACAACATTTCCTCCTCACATTTACAGATCTGCTCCCACTTTGGTACTTAGGCACTTTAACACATCCCTTTAAAAGGGACAGAGCTTTCGGTCTATGTAGTGATTTATCTGGCAAGGCCTTTTTTTCAACCGATCTCTGGCAGAATTTTCCTAGAGATCAAAGGAGTCAACCTAACTCTTATAAACTAAGATTCAGAAAGGGCCTTTAGTAATTACCCGTAAGAACTGAGATAACGAAAGGATTTGTGCCCGGGTCACAAACCTGGGCCACTCCAGATAACATTATTCATCCTTGTAACAGCGAAGCGAGGGGAAGGAAAGTCCGAACCCCATCCTCTTGATCTATTAAATCAACCTGGCAGGAAGTCACCAGCAAAACAGCCCCGCGGGTTCGTGGGGTCATCACAAATGCCGGCCTCAGCGGCTCTTTGCTGTCAGGAACCTCCACGGAAAGGCCACCACACCCCTCACTCCTCACCGTCCGCCCAGCGGCCGGGAAGCCAGGCCCTACGTCTCGGTGGTCATCCAGGACCCAAGCCACGACTACTGTCACCAACGTAAGATCTCGCCAGGCCCACTATGCCCAGCCTCCCGACCCTCGCTTAGCCTCTTCTTTCCTTTTGGGGCGCCCGTCTGCCTGCCCCGAAGGGTGCGAACTCACGGCCGCCGTGGCGCCGGTGAAAATATCCTCCCCCTCCGTATCGCTGTCCCCGGCCTCGGGTTCTGACCCCCCGGCCGCTCCCTCGGACTCCGGCTCCAGGCCGGGGAAAGGCGGAGGGAGTCTCTCCGAAGCGCTACAGCCACCACCACCCGACGCCATCTTCCTCCACCCCCGGCGGAAGCCGCAACAACAACTTTATAGAGAGATAGTGCCGCGAGCAAACAGTTCCAGCCGAGCGGAGGGGGATGGCAGCTACCTACCCAGCGGGACTCGCGGGGCGGGACCTAGGCGCTGGGGGCGGAGCGGGGCCGGCCCGCGGCTCCTGCCCAGCCAATCCGAGCGCAGAATCGCGACCCTGCGCTCTTAACCAAGGAGGCACAGCGGCAGAAGAGGAGGAGCTAGGGGCCGCTCGGGTTCATAGGGCTCTTTGTGCGTTGGGTAGCTTTATCTAACAGGCTTCTTAAGGAGATGGATAAAGAAGGCTAAAAACCTTTTCATGCCACCTACCCATGCCAAGCACAGTGGCTTCATAGAAATTCAATAAATATTTTTGATTGGAGTCTCTGAACAGATGCAGTAAAGTTTTGCCATTTATTCTTTTCACATTTAATTCATTCAAGAAATATATATTGAGCATCTACTGCGTGCCTGGCACCTGCTACGCGTTTGAGATAGAGAAATAAAAATGCTCCTGGTCCGCTAGGCGCTTGAGGAGACAGGCATGTAAATTAACAATTCAACATATTCAGTGCTATAATGTGCTGTGGGAGCATAGTGAAAGAGATCATCAGTTCTGCTTGGAGAAGTCGGGAGTCCTCAAGGGAGCGGTGAGACATTAGCGTCGTAAATTTGGTCGCAAGAAAGTTAGGATCATCCTCTCAACTGCTGTGGAGTAAGTGTAGTGGAACAGATGGCAGGGGAATTATTAAACTCTGAACAAAATTTTCCTGGAACCTAAACTATTCACTGGTTGTCTGGCGGGCCTAAAGTCTAAATTAGCTAGACAAAACTTTACCTTTAACGATAAGTGGGATGTTGTCATGAGGTAATTCAGCAAGATAATCCTGACTTCCCTTTCAATTCAGATGCTATGAAACTTGGCATCAAAAACGTTTAGTTTGCTTGTAACTGCAAATCTCTCAACATCAGGGATTGGCTCCCTTACAGGTCCGTGAGCTGCTTGAGGGCAGGGGCCTCTTTGTTTCCTTTGTTTGTAGGCCAAGTCTGGCAAATTATCCAAAAAAATGTTTGAGATTTGACTGGAGGGATGGATGGATAAAATTGACATCATCAAACTTGTTACTGGCATCCATAACAGCCACCAACTCCAGACAGCTTAAGACGTTCTTTTTAGGATGGCGATCTCCAATGTCACTATTGGATTCACTGGACACAGGGAAAGCTCTCTCTAAGTTTTCTTTGAAGGCGATTGGCAGAAATTTTTAGCGGTGGTAGGAAAGTTGTGCTGGTCTGAGTCCCTACGAGACGAGAAAACCAAAAAGGAACCGCCCCCTCCTTCCACGCCTAACTAATCTTACTACGCTCCAAAGACTACTGGTTTCACAGCAACGGAAACTCACTTCCGGCCTAACTAGGAAGTAAGAAAACCTGGGCTGGAAGCGGCCCCCTCGGAGAAATAACAGTAGGAAGAGACCGTGCCCAAGCTCCTCCAGCACTAGAAATCAAGATCTCCTTTCCCCTACCTCTTCATAATTCATCTTGAGCTTATCCAGGCGCTAAGCGAGGGAATTAGTGGTGGGTAACAGGCCGTTACCTCCTGCCCCACCTTTCACAAGCGGAGACTACAGGTCCCAGAATGCAGCTCTCCGTCTTCCGAGGAAAACGCCCATATGTCCTAGCATGCAACGCGCCTCACGTGCCGCTAGGATTATTTTTTTCTTCTGTCCCGCCGAAACGAAGCAAAGCTTGCTGGGGCTTGTAGTCCTTGCGGTACCCTTCCCTGGGTTCTCAGTGCTGCTCCGTCCGGTCTCGCCTATTCTCTGCTCTCCTGGACCTTTAGGCTTGTCTTGGCCCATTTGAAGACCAGGAAGTTGATAAATCGCGAGGCTCGGCTACTGAGAGACGGTGGCTCGGGTGGGACAGTCGCCAGGCATGGCGGAGCGTGAGGATGGAGCGGGTGTCGGGACTGCTCTCCTGGACGCTGAGCAGAGTCCTGTGGCTCTCGGGCCTCTTTGAGCGGGGAGCTGCCCGGCAGCCCCGGATCATGGAAGAGAAAGCGCTAGAGGTTTATGGTAATTAATTTTACCCACGGCAGCATTTGGCGGTTTACGTGGAGGCGGGGGTAACGAGGGCCTCACCTGAAGGGTACCTATGGAATCCCGGGGTTTTGCCAGATGGCATTCGGGAGCGTGGGAAGCTTCTGCTCCGGGGTGCTAAGTCACGCGGGCATGTGGGTCTTTCAAGAACCTGGGCTCTTGCTAAACTTGGGGCAAGACGATCCTGGTCTCAGACGCTTCATTTCTCTTGTCTGCCCCACGTTCTAGTGGCCATCTCAAGACTTCTGGGCAGAGCAAGCGTCCAGGGTGCTTGGTTTGGAAGCAAAGCCGGCCTGGTTGCACTACTTGAGTCTTCTTCCTGTGCCTTGCCCCTAGACCCAAATTCCACCTCCTGCCACCACCGAGGGCACTGCTGAGTTGGGGACTGGCCCAAGGTCACAGCCACTCTCTTCTGCAGAGGCAGTAGGCAGAGGTCCCTGAGAGTGGCTTGAACTTATGATTCCTTAACACAGCCAAGCCCAAGCCTGGAGTGCAAAAAAGGGATACTCACATACGGTTATTTATATATATAAATATATATAAAAATATATATATATATATTTCCATTATTCAACCCCTGGGACCATCTTAATCATATAGATGAGGCAACAGAGGTTTAGAGTGGTTAAACAACTACTAGGAGGCCACACTGCCAGCAAGGAGAGGGCAAAAACCAAAGCCCCTATCTTCTTGATTCCAAACTTAGTGCACTTTTCATCACTTCACAACTGCTTTATGACTTGCCTTTTTTTGGACTTACTAGTATTGCTTTTGAAAACTAGAAAGACTGGATCTAACTAATGTTCAGAGATTTCTGCTGCCCAAGGGTAAAAATCTAACCGCAAGAAAACAAATATTGAGGTAAGGATTATAGACCAGTAGAAAAAAGCCTGGGATGTTAAAGACCTTTGAAGCTAATCCAGTTTACCTCCTTTTAGGGGCAAGACTTAATCAACCTCAGTCAGGTGATAAATATGAGTGGAATGATCTCTGCGAAGCAGATGGACACATTCCTGTCCTGTTAGGCCTCTATCTCCAGCATCTAGGGGCAGCAGGGCACTGGAGGTGCAACTTTAGAGGAGAGATAATTCTTGTCCTCAAACTTATATTGAATTCTTAAAACTTACATGCAGTAGAAGGCCATAGACCTGTATGCGAGATACAGAAATTCAGAGGAAGGAGAGACACTAATCTCTTGGAGGATCTGGAAAGACTTTAAGGAGAAGGAGTCACTAGAGTTGGGCCTTGAAAAATTAGGAGGATCTGGACATATAAAGGGTAGAGGGCACACTAAGTGAAGACACCAGAGAAAAACTACGGAGGTGAGAAAATAACGTGTAGGGAATGCAGGTAGGCGGGGCTACAGGATAGGGTTTGCGGTTAACGGTGGAGGTGTGGTCAAAAATTGTTTTATGTAGGTTGGAATTGCATACTGTAAGTTTAAATATAAATGAAGAATTTACTATCAGTGCAGAGCAAGTAGAAGGATTTTAGTCAAGGGAGTAATGTGAGGAGAGCAACATTGCTTTCTTTCTAAAGAAATAAATCCAAATCACTAGAAAAGTAGAGAAGTTTAATAAGGGGTGAGATTAAATTTCAGGATTAAGTAGCATATAAACAACATAATGCAGCTTGTGTATATAAGTCTTACAGGGAAAGGCCTAGGATGAGGGGGAGCAAATTCCTTTTCAAAAAACCCTCTTTCCCTGAACCCCATGTTTCACAGCTTTGTGAGAGCCTTATCCTCTTTTTCCTGCCTCTGTTTTCAAATGCTGTTTCTAACCGAGTGATAAGCCCAGAGGATGCCGGGGAGAGGACAGAGTTCGACTTGTTTTTTCCCAGCTGCATTTCTGATTACAGGGGTGCTCTAAATAATAGAACAAAACCTCGGGTTTGAGAACAAAAAGCCCATTTTATGTGAACTCCCTCTGCTTCTTTCTACCTCACCATTTCTCTTTATCATTCTCGTTTTCGATCTTTTTCTACAACCTCAGAGTAAGAAGGGAATCTTTTCCTCTCCAAGGCCAACCCAGACTCCTATATCTTTGGTCTCAGTCTCTTCTGCTAATTTTACTGGCCTCCTCTTCACCCTCCCCCCATAAATTTTCAGTCTCTCTTCCTCTATTTGATCCTTCCCCTTGGGCTGCAAAGGATACTCAAGTTCCTCTTATCCCTGTCATTGTTCTAGCTTTTTCAAAACCCACTGTCCCTTGTTTGCCCTTCCCTCTTTCCCTTCTTGAGCCCTCGGATTACATTTTCAGGTCCTACTCACTCTTTTGGGAGCTGGCTTCCACCTTCACCTCACTACTGGAAATGCTTTCTTACAGGTGACCTCCTGAGTAACAGATCAAAGACCCGCTTTACCTCTCGTTAACCTGAATTTTTCTGCAGCATTTGATGTTGTTAACCACCCCCCTCTTCCTTCTCTGCTTCTTTTTGCTTTTCTTCCTCCTTCTGATCCCTAAATAAGGTACTTCCCACAAACCTTGGGTCTTTTCCCCCTTACATTAGTGATTCTCCAACTGAGCTGCACATAAGATTAATCTGAGGAATTTTTTAAAAGTCTCAGTGACCAGGTTGTACTATGAGTCAGTTAAATCAGAATCCCTGAGGGTAGGACTCCCACATCAGTGTTTGCTTTTGTTTTAAAGCATTTCTAATGATTCTGCTGTTCAGCCAAGGTTTTAGACTACTGGTCTGCTTATTGTTCTTTGTGAATCCCATGAATTCAACAACCCCTCTAGCGCTGGTTCTCTTAAACCTCACCACAGATCAGCGTTTGCTGGAATGTCCCATTGGTTTGTCCCTTAATCATCTCAGAATTATTACATACAGAATGTAATCCATTTGCTGCAGCTCTCCCCTCCCCAAATTTCTTCTTATATTTTCTGTCCTTTTTTTCCCCATTCTATCTTTATT